TTGCAAAAAATCAAAAAATTGAATTGACATAATAATTATTTATTATAATTTTTTTCTCAATTATAGATTTTAAAACTAAATAATATTTATTACATTTGTAATACATACAATTTTAAAAAAACTCCATTGATTATTTTGGTTTTTGCAAAAAAAAATCTTTAAATATTTGTGATTATTTTATAATATATTTTTTTTTGATAGTTATCATAATATCATAATTAGGATGATAAAAAATGCAATTGTTCCAAAAAATTTAAACATTTGAATGACATTCATTCAATATATTTAATTTTTATACTAATCAAATTAATACATATCCACTACTACCAGAAACTTCATCAATATAACCAAAATCAACTTTAAACATACCAATATGCAAAATACATTTCACTATTTTGTGGAGATTTAAAAATATTTTAAACTTATTTTTAGAATATTCCATTGATTAGGCCTACAATATTGTAAAAGTAAACAAAAACCTTAACATGTGATTCTTAGATTTTTCATTTTATTTATGTAGGGTTAGTACATAAATGAAGTTAAAACCAATAAAATAATTGTACTCTTTATTTAACAAAACTATGTTATGAAGATAGAAGATCTAGGCAATTTATCCAATAGAAAGAATTTGATAATGTTGTAATCAAATGTCCATTGATTTTTCCTCCACATTTCTTTTTTCTCCTCCTTCAAGGTAAAGTTGTTCTTGATATTGAACTTCTTTTGGATCTCTTCTAGTGTCTTTTTCTTTAACATTTCTACTTTAATTTGGCACATTAAATTTAATAGATTCTTGATGTTTAGATAGTTTGCTACATGTTTCTATCATTCTACTCTTTTTTGGTAGCATAACTCTTTTTCATCCTTTGTGCCTATCTCACTTTCTGCTCTTCGTCCCTTCTTTCCTACACTTTGTACAATCCCAACGCTTCTATGTGCCTATATCTTATATCAAAACTAATGCCCAATCTTTACAAATATTATGTCAAACACATTTGCTTGGTCTTTCTTTACAAAATCTGCATTTTATTTCTTAATTTTGTCCTTTGACGTTGAGAGCTTGTTCTTTTATTGTTTCTAGTTGTCTACATGGCACTAGAAAACTTGATCACTTTTGCTAAGATTTTTCTTGACATGTTTGGAAGTAGAATCATCTAATCCTACTATGTCTAAAAAATCAACTAGCTCTACGATTTCTAAAAGTGTCATAGAATCAGGAGATGACACAATGAAGCAGTTCATCTTTTGTGAATTCTCTTAGTTTAGGATAAAATAAAAAAATTAGAAGTAACATTAATTAATAAATCCTAATTTCTATAGGAACTAGGAAGAATTTTAATCTTTATTTGGAAATTAAATCTTCTCTTAATTGATTAGACATCTTGCATATTAGAAAAGAGAAAAGTCATTATATGTTCAATAACTTTTGCATTCTAGAATCCGAGGAGGTTGAGGAGGAGATAGAAGAAAGAATTCACTATCTATTTTGTAAAATGAGTTATTATCTTCCAATATGTAAGGATAATAATAATAAAAAAAATTAAATAGACTTGATAGCTTACAAATTAGAGATAGGTTTAATTCATCATTAAAAAATAATATTATAAAAAAAGATGTACAATAATTATAAGCAAATATCTTTCTATCAATATTTGAGGTTCTTGTATATAATATTTTCAAATAAAGATCTAAAAATTGAGTGAAGAACTTTTTGGTTTCTAATGACAATCTCTTAATCACTTCTTGATATATTTTAATTTTCTTTGATTGCATTCTTTTCTTCTTAGATTGTAATCTTTCTTTTTTTCAATTATAATTGTGGTCTTTTTTGCTTTGATTATTATCCTTCTATCCTTAAGTCTCTAATTTGAATCCCTCTTCCTTACTAACTTTGATATTTTAATAATTTTTATATTTTTATAATCTAGCCAAGTCTTTGGTTGCTTGATTTGAAATGAATATGATCTTGGAAGAAAGAATTTGGAAGTATTCCAAAACTTATGTTTTGTATGTCTCATTTTTGCATACTTTGGGCTAAAGATTCATGTGCTATCACATTATTTATATTCTTCAAGTTCTTTTTCTCACAACTAATCAAAATATATTTCTTTGTCTTTTTATCTTATATACATACATATATATATATATATATATATATATATATATGAACTTAAAATGATATATAATATTTTATTAGTAAAAAAATTACTAATTAGTGTGATTAGTAGATTAAAATTGGTAGATTACTTCTATATAGATTGTAGTACTATGGAAGTAGTAATGAAAATAAGAATAAAGCCTTAATACATATATTTTTTAAATATTTTATAATACATGTAAATCTTAACAGGGCTTTATTTATAATTAAATTTTTGTAATTTTATAAATATCTATGCAAGATAAATAATTTAAAAATTTGTCTTATTTTAATAGTGATGTTAGAAGATATGTAGCTACAAATACAAGGAGGTATTAAACTTAGATAGTTTAAGACAAAACACAATAACTTAGATATATAAAAATTCATAAATTGAACAAAGTAGAAATTCGAGGTACTAACAAACATGTCATATTGAAGTCTTACACCATGTTTAAGTAGAAATTAACAAGTGAATTATAAGAATTAACTAATAGAAATGTTATCTTGGAAAGAATCAAGTAGTATTAATGGGAGTTTTATTGCAATAAATAACAAATTATGAGATAGATTTATTTTTAATTTTATGAGTAGATATATACTTAAAAAGATAATATTTTGTAGAATTTAAAGCTAATCAAACAACTTAATTAGAAATTATTTCTTGTTATAGTTTCTCAATTGGAATTTAAAAGTTATAAAGAATTTTCTTTAGATTTTTGAAATTTAAATTTTAAATAGGCTTTAAGATTCAAATTTAAAAATAGATTGAATATAGGATATATGATTTAGGATTTAACAAAAGTAATGTTGATTAAGAAGTATTTTTTTAAACACCTTATTTTTTATAATAAAATAATTACAGGCTATAATTTTTTTTCTTCCACAATCAAATGCCTAGTTCATTTATAAATTAAACTATTTATTATTAAATAGTAGAAAAAATTACTTTTATAGTATTAGCTTTGCAAAAGATATAAATAATATAATTTGTTATTGTAAATATGGAATGTAACAATAAAGAATAAAAATAAATTTGTTATATTTAATAAAATTTTAAAGAAAAAAAATGATATGAATAAAAATTGATTATGCTGTACTATAAAAAATAAAAAATAAAATAAGCTTATGTAAAAAAAATCTTTGTTGACTTGAATTAGTAAATGGTGTATGACTTATATTGACTATTAACATCAATAAACTAAAGAATACAATTCTATTTAGTTGTAGCACAAGATTAGCTACCTTCTTTGTAGTAAAATAAATAAATGTAAAAGCTAAAAATAAATAATTTGAGATAGAATAAAATCAATTTTTTTTAAAAATATATATATTTTTATGACTTTTAACGAATTATTTTGTAATTTACCAAATTAGGATCATTTGAAATTATATTAAACATAAAATTGTAACAGATATTTTACTTAAATATCTAATTCAGAATAAAGTATAATAAATTTTAAATGTATATATTTAATTAATAATTGTAAAATTAATAAAACTTAAAAAAATAATTTATTATATATATATATATATATATATATATATATATATATATATCTTAAATAATTTTCACAATTAATGACCAAGTAAAATAACATAAGATGTATAATACTTTATTTTATTTTTTATCCTTTAATATTTTAATGTAAACTTTAGCATTTTTCTTGCACTCTTTTTGTTGTTATGCAATACGTAAAACTAATTTCAGAATTTTTCTATATCTCATCTTTCTTACATTAAAATCACAAATAATTAATTTAATAAAAGTTATACAATATAAAATTTTATGTGGTCGTACTTTTCAAAGACTTTGTTGTAAAAAAGATTTTTTTTATTTTTTTATTTTTTTTAATTTTTTATTATTATTACAGGCAATTTATAAATAAAGTCATCCTATATTATAAACCAATAAGTGAATTTTGTCATTATACTTTGGTTTTGGATTGTTTTTTATTATTTTTATAAACATTTATTTTATTTTTTTTCTAGAAAAAATTATATATATATATATATATATGTATCACTTATTTGCAATTAGAAGTGCACATGTAATTTAGAAAAAAACTAAAGAATGAAATTAGCTTCTCACCAATTGGCTTAACAATAATCTTTAAACAAAACTTAAACACATGGTAGAAAAAATTCCAAAAAGAAATAATAAATATGCATAAATTAGTTATAAAACATTAAACTAATATAATTGGTAATGATAGACAAAAATTATGGTCTTCATGTTGTCTATTTGAATGCAAAATTGGAATATTCATTTTTTAATCAAATTAAACAAGACATCGTATATATTATTCTGATGATCCTCTGTGTATCACCTATTTTATTTTAAATTTAATTTCATAAAAAACTATCAATTCATTATCTCTTTATAACCCACCCTTTCTTCACCGTAAAAACTTACTATTAATTAAATTGCATACCTTCTCTATCTTCAACTCCTTGCAAACTTAATCAATATAACAACTCAACACAGCAACAGACACATGCATGAGACACACAAACTTGTCCATTGGAACTCAACATCTATTGAATATCAACAATAATTTTTGGGATTACACGGCTCAAGTGCTGGATCCGTAACAGGAGGTTTACCACCCCATTTAACAAATATTATATATATTTTTTTGTAACGTAAGAGCCAACAAACTTATACATTTATAACTGAAGTATGGAAACACTAATTTGGATGCTCCGTTTGCGGTGACGGCACTCGCATCTGGGAGATCGTCGAGGCACGCCGCACATTGTGTCCCCAGCTGCGGATTCGCAACATCCACTGCCGCCACGCACTTGGCATTCCACTAGCCATTGGAATCCACGAACCAGTCCTCCGCGCCGCCGGAGAGGAAGTCCGCACATTCTTTCGCCACCGAGTCGCTGCATTCCTGGCAGTTGTCAGGGTCGGAGCACGCTGTCGTGCAGTCGAATACCATCTCGTCTCATTCCACGTCTCCTTGTTGCAGAAGACGTCTGTGAATGCCGGGGTCATTGCCACATGGTTTGGGCGGGTTGGGATTCTTCGAGGTTTTCAGGTACTCATGGAAACAATTGATGGTATGAGGAACATTGCATGCGTGTGCTTTTTTACATTTGAGATCTAATATTCGTTGTTTCTCTTTCGCTTTCGCGTGATGTTGGTTTGAACTTGATCGTGCAGTTTCATAGCGATTGTGAAACTGTGCGCTTCCTTGAACGACCGTGGCCAGGTAGGAGATGGTCATCATGATGGCAATACATTAGAAGAAGCATCGCCGTGTTGTCATGATGTATGGGACAACCTGCACAGAGAACACGCACGTTCCGAATTAGGGCTTCTTTTTAGGCATTGTAGCAGCCTAGGATGGTGTACAGAGTCTGCAGGAGAATGGCGATGATGACGATGGCGGCGGCCAGCACGGAGATGAAGATGGCCACGGTGGCGGTCGATTGTCTTCAGATGTTCGCAATGGTGCGACGGTATCTGCTTTGGGAGGCGTCGCTGATGGCGTGGATGATAACGTCGTGTCTCTCGAGGATGGCGATGCTCGTGTCGATGGTCACACGTCTCCACAAGGTGCGCATGGACTCGCCTTCGCCGCCCAAGCAATCTATGAGGTGTTGCTTCTCTATCAACTGGACGTCTCCAACTGTGTCCACCAGCATTGACATGAGCACGACGTAGGAACCGAAGATGGGCACTGGTTTGAGAGTCTCAGTGTTCAGCTCGAACGCTAATAAGTTCCGGATGAGTGATTCAGTGTCCTCGTGCATCATTCGTGCATCTTCAGCTTCGGGAGGCAACGCCGGCTGCTGGAGGAGAAGGAGCAGAAGCGCGCGGGTTTGAAGACCACTTTGCTGATCCTCCCCACGACAGATTGGCGCTTGATGCCTCGGCGTTACAGCGTTTGGACGATGTCAAATCTCCAACTAACTAGGGTCACGCAGTCTGAGCTCACAGGTCGACCTGACGTGTTGATTGCTGCGGTCCCGGCCTGCACATGGCCGGTTGGAGATTTAGCATTGTCCCGACTGCGTGACACTAGTTTCTTGTGGCGCTATCTTAACGTCCCGAAGAAGGTCAAAAAATAGGGCCATTGTAGCAGAGGTGGAGGAACTGTGGCTGATATCCTGTACATGCTGCATGGAATGCTGGAATCCGTGTGAAGCTGCGTGGATGCAGATGATGAAGAGCTCAGGTGTTCGGGGAAGCACGGAAACGCTGTACTCTGAAAGTACTTTGAGAGAGTCGGTTCATATAAGCTTGAATGCTTGAGCAACTTGCACTGTCAACGGGTACTGCTCTGTCGGGACTGTACTGTTGTGCCCAGTCGATATTTAACAGGTTGAAATAAAACCCCAACACCAAATTTGGGGCTTTCAGGTTTAGAGTGTGCCTCCTGTTCACGCCACCCAAGAATCGTTGGGGAGGAAAGGGCCATAACTCTGCCAGAGATATGATTGCCGACAGGTTGGATTCGTCATTTGTCACTAGATGAAATCCTTGGATTGCTGCAAAATCCTGGGATGGTATCCTTGTTTTGGATCAATGAATAAGTTTTCCTCCACTTTTCGCATGTTTTATTCAAGACTAACCAAGGCAACTAAACCTGTTAGTGTCCAGTCCCTTACCAAATCTTGAGAAATTAGTAGATGTTGAAGAAAGCCTAAACGGTAGCTAACACACAGCTAGTTTTTGTTTTTGTTTGTTTGTTTGTTTGTTTGTTTTTTTTTTTTTTTGGCACAAATGAAATAAATTTATTGAAGGGGGGAACAGTGCAAGTGTTGTGGTCATTGTAGGATTTAGAAATCCTAATCCAAACACGACTGAAGTCTGGACCTTAAAGAAGTGTAATGGTACAACCCCGGCTTGTGGGGGAGCTACTCTAACCTGGTTACGTGATCTGTTGGGAAGCCATATGGTTGCCCTGTCTAATACAAATGACGTAATTGTGTCCCTAACATTTATCGAAGGCTTGGTGCCATTTTTCTGGTGTGATATCGGGACTGTTCACCTTGACTTTGGTCCATGTGATTCTGGCATAGTCCTTAAGGCCATGCCATATCTTGTTTGTTTTTTGTCCAGGCTGCCAGGGATGTGTTATTGAAGGCACCATCATTTATTTCAAGCTATATTTCCCATAGTATAAGGCTACTGAGGAGTGACTATATGGTGATAAATTTATCAAATTATCTTGGGAGTTAATAGGCAAATGCACATTGTGTCCAGATAAGGGTTTTGAAGATTAGATTGTAAAGCATGGATTGTCTTAGAGCACTACTTCCAAATATGTTGGATCCTTGGGCATGACCAAAAGCAATTTTAAATGGTTTTAAGTATATTAAGACAAAAAGGCAAGCATCAATGTTAGATATAAATTGACAACTCTAGGTGTTGATTGTGAGTGCTTTATGCCACACACTTTCCATGAAGGTGGATTCTTTTTTGGATTACCAAGGATGCTATGCATTATGCTAATTAACATGCAAGTTGGTGAAGGACTTGATTCTCTACTTTGTATTGGATAGGTCAATAATTTTTTCAAGATTGTTGATCCATCCATATAGTCACTTCCATTTTATTCTATAAAAATAGATTTGTAATTATTGCAAATCTTTATGAACTTATCAATATTTTTAAGATAGAAATTTCATGTATTTCTAACATTAACCATGGAAGTATTATTCCTATGGCTATAGAAGAAGTCAACAATGACATTGTAAGTCTATATCAAGAAGTTGTGTAATTGAATGAAGCAAGTAGATCAAGTTTATAAGTAAATCTGAAAAGTCTTGCTACTATAAGTATTAGAGAAGCAAGGATAAGTATATTGATGAAGTTTAATAGAACAAAATCAAAATTTTGAGGATTTTTACAACAAATAAAGCTCTATCTAAGGTTGCATCTTTTTCAATACGTGAATGAATTTACTCAAATTAAATTTAAAATTCCACTTCTATTTAAGAGTACTCTATCTTATTTTACACATTTGATGAAAAAAGATTTATAACTCCTTTATGATTTGAATTTATTCTTAGAAGTATTTATGGCCATATTTGAAGAAAGTGATTGAGAAGGGTTAATAGAGACCAAACTCTTATCTTTACAACAAAGATTATGTTCAACCACCATATATATTGCAAAATTCCAAAATCTTACTTGCAACATGGATTGAAATGTCACGGACATACATATAATTACCTATATGAATAGATAAAAGTATGTAAAAGTAGATAAAAGTAGGTTAATTGTGTAATATCTTCTAGAGAAGCTTCTTAGAAGCTTCATAGACGCTGCTTTGACTTTATAGGAGTCTATAGTTGACTTTTAGGTTAGAAACTTGGTCAACAAGTTAGCCATGTGCCACACATGTTGGAAGCTTAAAGAACAAGCTAACTACGTGGTCCATCCATAGAAAACTTGCCTTGCAAGCAAAGGCATGTGGCCTAGAAAGTCAACATATATTGGAGGTCTTATAGAACATCGCCATGTGGCTTCTAGTTAGATAGTATATATAGAGGCAAGAGTGAAGCCCTCTTCACTCTTGTCAACTCCTTTCTTGCTTCTAGTCTAGTTTCAAGGGTCTCTAGTTTTCTTGTATTTTGGCAATAGCCATTCCAGTTTCTTTCTTAATATACATATTTCTATTTTGTCCTATTTCTTTTTGAGAAAAGTCTCACTTACTCTTTAGCTTTCATCGAGTTCTTGTCCTTGACATGAAATGACAAAGCCCTTATTAATCAATTTTGATATGAATTGAAAGATAATATCAAAGATTTACTATTTTTAATATCAATAATAGATTCATTCGAATAATTTATTGTTTAAGTCATTATTTGTAATAATTAATTTTTTAAAAGATGCTAAAAAAAAAGGTTTGATTGAAGAGGTACAAATTAAGTCATGGTGATAACTTCTAAGTTTTTAGAAGTCTATTCATCAAGGCCAAAACCTATGCAAATTGACATGGTATGTTTTAAATCTTTTATTAAGCAAAAAAAGAGTTGATGTTGTTAAAAAGATTTATGCTTATATTCTAGAGAATCTAAATATACTATTCAATATCATCTAAAGAAGTAATATAATTATAAAATAAAGAGTGTAAACTAAAATAAACTTTAATTAATTAGTAGTTTATTTTAATCCACATCAATTAATTAAAAATCTCACTCTATATTTTTATTAATTATTTTTTTAATTTCTTTAAATTAGTTCTTTTAACCACCTAATTACTTCACAATTATCTAAAAAAACTAATTTAATTAATTTAACTTCTTAATATTTGAAGAAATTTTATATATTTTTTATATATTTTTTTTATTTATAATCAAGTTTCATCAAAATTTAAATTATTATTTACAAATAAATTTTTATGAATAAATAAAAATTCATCTGTCTTAATTTCATTCATATAAAATTCATCCAAATTTCATCTAATAATAATTCATCCAAATCAAAGAATTTTCTAATCCAAGTTTTTTTATTCAATCAATAATCTATTGAATTTATAAAATAAAAATCATTACACAATGTGGCCTTGAAAGTGCTTACATTTGGGTGATAGTAGTTGAAAAGATTCTTAATTATTTATGGGCATGAATTCCACCAATTCATACTATATTTTTGAATCTCGATGTATAAATCTTTTGGATGCAATGGGACAATCATCCATTAATTTTTAAATCTTCTATTTCTTTTATAGTATATATTTTTGTCTCTAAATCGCCTTTGGATAGTACTAATTTCATTAATATAATTCTAACCACCTTGGCTTTATCATTCCACTAGCACTACTTTTGCTTTTGTGTCTACAATCTCTAGTTCAATCTAGACTTTGTCATTGCAAAAACCACCAATATGGATTGTAACCAATAAAGATGTCATTTTGAGCCTATGATTCTTTTGGTCAAAAAACTAGATGGAAAAGGTCAAACAACTAGTATCCGATTGAAAAAAAAAAAAAAAAAAAAAAAAATCTCAATGAGCTAATATTAGTGCATAAAAGTCCAACATTGAACATCCAATAGATATGTAGATCTTAAGAGGCTTGATGTTATAATCTTTTCAAGTTGAAGAAGATTTTAGAATATTATCTTTTTAATTTTTTAGTTTTTTTTCTATAATTTTTAAAATAGATTTAATTTCTTCATGTCTTATTTATTTATTTTATGAGACAAATCAACCTTAATTTATTATATTGAGTAGTAATAGCTCTCTTATTTTAGTCTTAAAAAGAATTAATAATTTTTATAGCTAAGTTGCTTTTTAATTAGTAGATTTTAGATAGTCATTTCTAGATTCTTTTTCTTTGCAAGTTATTCTACATACTCACCAAATCAACTTACGAGTTATTTTAGGACAAAAGAATATTATAGAAGGATTGATTATTAAGTAATAATTAAAGAAAGGTGAAAAAAATGCTAAATAAAAGCATAATAGATTTAATAGATTAATTATACTAATGAAGAAGAATTCTAGTAGAAATTTATATGGAAAGGATATTTCTTTAATATCTTAGAAGTATTTAAAAAGAATATAAAAGAATCAAAATTATTATATAATATGGGCCCAATTACCATATAATATTTGATATGTGATTTATTATGAATGGATATTGTATGAAGGCCATATAGAATATAATATATTATTAATATAAGACATAAGATACTAATAGAATATGAAAATGGTTTCTATATGGAATAATATATAAATATTATATAATACATTATATAATATAATATATAATATATTATATAATATAATATATAATACATTATATAATATAATATATAATACATTATATAATATAATATATAATATATTATATAATATAATATATTATATAATATAATATATTATATAATATAATATATAATACATTATATAATATAATATATAATAGAAATATATTAGAAATACAATAAGATATAATAAAAAAAATATATAATAGATATATAATAGAAAATATAATAGATATATTATAATAAATATAATAGATATACCATAGAAAATATAATAGATATACCATAGAAAATATAGCAAGATATATGATTATTACATTCTCATATTGTGGTTCGGCTACTATGTAAAAATTATGGACATATATATTTAATATATAATTTTTTATAAAATGTGATGAAAGTCACGTTATTAAATTTTAATTAGTCACAAAATATGGTTAGATTACTACTTTGAAGTGGTTGTTTAAAAAGGCTATTATTGAGGTTGATTTATATTAATAATAATTTTTATGCATTTAAAGCCATCTTTATTAGATATTAGTGACTTTTGAAATCTTATTTTGTTTCTTGTATTTGGTATTTAGGACAAATATTATGTAAATATTATAAGAAAAAATATTTAAGAAGGATTTTGGTAGTAAAAAGAATAGTTAGGATATCTATATGGATGAATGGAGATAGATGATGAAAATCTCTATTGCTATTGGCCAAAAGGCATGCCCAATGTGCTTCAAAGAGGTTGCCTGAGGTTTTATTAGGAATTAGGGTTACTCTTTTGAGGCAATTGGAACTTAAAATGTTAAGATTACAAAGTTTAAGTTTTTTGGCTATGGTTTTGGTACAAATTTTGGGAGATTTGGAGTTTTTATGAAAGAAATATAGGCGTTTTTTTGGACATAATTGATGATTTTTACCTACTGTCATTCTTTTGGACATAATTCATGCATACAGAATACAATAAAGAATCGGCAATCAAGATTTGAGAGAAAATGTTTTTGGCTACACTTTTCATATATTATTTAATTAATTCTAAGCTAGGATGAAGGAGTTATAGGAAGTTGAAGTTAGCATTTGCAAGCTTAGGGTAGTAAGTAATCCGATTTACTAGTGGTTATGTTTTGAGCTATATCTTGAGCAATTTGACAAGATTTTGGCTAAAAAATTCCAAGAATGTGTATTATCATGTTAATAAATTTTATACACAAATTTTGTTGTATTTAAAATTTGGATTTTATAGATATAGAAAAAATAGTGTTT